AAATCCCCACAACCCAGCCATATTTATCTTTAATGGCCATAGGAACCAGCAGGTGAGAAGGAAAACATGAATTAGACAGCCCCTGCCTTTGGCAGCACCCTCCACCAGAGGCAGCTGAACCAGGCAGGGGATAAAATACACACCAAAATCATGATTATCAGAATAAATAACTGAGGATCAAGAGAAAATTAATTAAAAAAGGGGGAAAAAGCCCCAAACACCCAACGCCTTTGGGGGGGGGTGGTGGAATTTTTACCTTCCACTGGACTTTGGTCTCCCTCTTTTTTAACAGGAGCTTTCCTCAGTTTAGAGCCCAAGCTCTGGCTGTGGAAGTAGGGGAGAAGATTTCTGCACTAATGTGGCATTCTGATGGCACAGAAGGAGTGGAAAAGCCTGAGAGGTCTCATGTCAAAGCCCTTCACCAGGGTCAGAGGCTGGAATCATTATTATACGCACAAATCCAGACCAGGGACCTCTCACAGGCAAACTAAACCAGCAGAAACAATCCACTGGCTTCAGAAGGCTCTAAAGCTGTGATATTTGATGGTGTGAAGCCACCATCGTGTGCCTTCACTCCTTATTTATGTGACATGCCCACGGAGGAGTTTGGATTTACTGCAGGCTTGAGCCTGTGGGAGGACACTCTCAATAGCGCGCTGTCCCCATCCTCCTCCACCAAATCCCACTCGCTTCCTGCTGGATTAGTGGCCACACCACCAGGATGGGTTTTGAAGGAATCCAAGCTTCTTTTTCACCCTGTCTGCTTCAGGGCAAGGGTTATCATTAGTGATTTAGCAAACTAATGAGATGCCAAAAAGTGCTTCAAAGCCACTGGCTCACAAACATCCTGAAGGGGAATCCTCTGCAGGGCTTTGCCAGTAAGATAGAGCAGGTTTCCCTTTCCCCCTGGCAAGGGGTAGAAGCTGTTACTTTGAAAGGAGAAGAGGGCAGGGAGTTGAAGACCAACTGCAGGCTTCTCAGCTGCAAAGACAAAGCTAAATGTTGCCTGCCACAGAAGAAGGGGAGAGAAGAGAAAGGATGGAGATGGGAGAGGGTTGGTGAGCCCTGGGAGCCAGCCTTACCTCTCCTGGACCACCACCAGCACCTCCCCAGCCTCTCCATGGAGAGGAGCACACCAGCCCAGTTTTCCTGAGTGCAGACAGTGCTAGTGTGCAGCAAAAAGCATTGATTTTGGTGTCTCCAAGAGCTTCCTGCTTGAGGCAACCCCATATTTCGCCCATAACAAGATTTGTCCCCCCTTTGCTGCTCCTGTAAGGCTCCTGGTGAAGGAGGGAAGAGGCTGGGCAACAGAGTGGCGAAAAACCCAACCACAAACCATAAACCCCACTCTGAGCTGAAGAACTGGCTGCACTTCTTTCTGCCACCATAGCCAGGGCTTCAGTGCCAGGCTACAGCCAGTCCAATGCCACAAGTGACTGCCACCACCACAGGCTCTGCTATCCCGTGAGGGATCCAGGCAAATCCAGCCCCACATCACCCCGACTCACTCTTCAAATGCTCCACTGGGTCTTTTTGCCTCTACTCGCCCTTTCTTTTCCAAGAGGGGAAAGACTTTGCAATAGAATAACAGAAGACTCCAACACTTGAGACATGGGAGGTTTGAGGCGCAGGGGGAGAAGCGCTCAGCACTGTTCTGCTTCCACAAAGCCCTCCTTCTCCTGGCTGGCTGGTTCCACCTCGGAATACGTTGCGTGGTTGGTGTGATTTCGGAACTTCATGGCAGGCCAGTGGTGTGGCCTTCGCTGGGGACAGAAACAAAGAGCCATCAGAAGCTATGACAGAGCCTTTTACACCAAGCCTGCAGGGAAGCTGGGATCTTGGTCCTGCAACAAGAACAGGGCTGTCTTTGTGGAAGTAATAAATGCTAAAAAATACCTTCGTGCTTAACCCAGTTCATTCCAACACATCCATCTCACTGAGCTGACCCACGACTCAGGTTAAAACGGGGGAGGAAATGGAAACTTGAAGTGAAATCTCACATCAGCCCCAGAACAAGGACGGTCTGTGCCTGGGGTGGCAGCCGAGGCTGGCCACAGGCTTCCTGTGCCACCACACACAAGTCAGCTTTGTGTGTCCTCTATCTGCAGAACAGGGACAACTGCCTTGCCCCGGCCCGGCCGGGTGTAGGTGAATGCATCCAACACTGCCAAGTGTTACTAGACTGGTAGAGGCCACGTAGCTCAATTCCCTGCAGCATGTCCCTGTAAACAGGACAGATGGAGGAAAGCCAAGTGCTCAAGGAGAAAGCCAGGGAGTGATAAGGAAAGGCTGAGGGCTCAGTGTTGCTCACTCCCTCCGCAGCAGCTCCTACGCCAGGATTCAGCCCACTTCTGCCTGCTTTGGGATCCTGCAGCAAGCGGTCTTCTGGCTTTTAACAGCAGATGGAGATCGTTGGACCCCCCATCATTCTGTGAATTAAAACCTTCCATTTAAAGCCTTCACACCACCACTTACACAGTAGCTGATGGCGTGACATCTACCAGTAAAGCCTGACAATTTTAGTCCACAGAATCCAGCTGGGTAACTCAAAAGGCAGCGATCTCAAGTATGTCATGGCTCCAACCAAGCCCTCCAACTGCTCCTGCAAGCAGGTGGAAGAGTGGAACATAGAAAAGGCAACGTGTGAAAGAGAGCATGTGAAAGGGAGCAAAATAACACCGTGTGGGAGGGGAGAGCCTAAGTTTAAAACATCATCAACCGGAGGTTGGGAGATTAGCTGTGACTGTAGGACCGTGAAAAGAAACTCAATCTGGACTCTATCAACGCTCCTCTCTTCTCTTTGCTCTCCTGTAGAAGGTTCGGATTTGGGGGGACAGCAGAGGAAACTGGGCGAGGGATCAGGTTCTCCACTCACCTCAATGAAGAACAGGGCAGCAGTGGAAGTGGGGTGGCTGTTGATGTAAATTCCAGCCAGGATGATGACTGCGATGAGCAGCACGGCCAGGACGATGCCCACGATCGTGCCGGTGTGAATCGGGGCACCTGCTTTCTTGGAAGGAAGGCTGCTTCCCATCCCTGCAAAAAAGGGTTCACTTCAGCCTGGAATTATGCTGAGACCTCAGGAGAAGGAAGGGAAAAGCAAGGGAAGAGCTTTCAGAGCTCTGCACATATGACTGAGCACCTCAGCCTGGCTCAATGAGAGGGGAGGAGGCACCAGAGGGGCTGTCCAGGCTCCAGCATCCCTTCCAGATGATAGCAGGAGCTGGTTTGAAAGCAGATGAAAGCACCATGGAGCAGCCACCCCGTCTCCAATCCATATTCCTTATATTTTGGCTGCTCACTCTGGTGGAAAGCCATTAGCCATATGCTGAGCTGGGGGCTCCGTGTGCCTCCCTTGCCCTCGGTCCTCAGCTATGAATATGCAATTGCACAGAGCTACAGAGGGTGGAGGAGACATTTATTAAGTGACATTACCAGCCATTTGGGGAGCAGTTTGGCTGGAATTGGGAAGAGGAGGCATTCCAAAGGCCCTGTGCCTGCAAAGGAGCTGGTCCTGCACCCAGTTTAGCCAGTTTAACTTCCCTGAGCTGCTTCCAGGTGAGAGGGATGGGCATAGACCACAGTGGTTGCAAACCCAACATCGGGTGAAGAGGACTCAGATCCTTCCCATACTCTGGAATTAGTAAGACCATTATGGCAACAGTTTGGTTCCCTGCCCTGGGGCTGATGAACAGACTTTGACTGAGAAAGGATTCATTGGAACAGAGATGAAAAAGGCAGAGCTGGACTTAAGGACACTTTATATTTGGCCTTTACGCTGCTCTTTGGCACTGCCGAGGAAACTCAAAAGGAAAAAGGACTTTGTCTGTGCAGAAACTGCAGACAAAGGGAATTACATGGAAAGAGAAAACTCATCATCTTCGTTTGCACAGCAGGACTAAGTGGGAGAAGCAGACAAACAGCACCAGGGTAAAAGAGATTTGGCCTGACTCTCACTTTCCACTCTCTGAAATGGTATTAATCAGGGTAAGGACAAGAGGAGCCTTATCTTGATTCCATCCTTCCAGCCTGTTCCAGCTGCCCACCCTTTCCATCCTGTGGAGGATGAAGGGCTTACCTTCACTGCCTGCGTACTGAGTGAGCTTCGTGTCATCTGAAAGAAGAAAACAAAGGCAAATAAAATAGAGTTAGGAGGCACCTATGATGTTCTGCAGCTTCCCACCCGCTCCCACTATAGCATTTGCAGCAATATGCTGCTAATACAGAATCCTAGCCCGGTTTGGGTTGGAAAGGACCTTAAAATAATCCAGTCCCAACCCCCTGCCACGGGCAGGGACACCTTCCACTAGAGCCGGTTGCTCCAAGCCCCTGTGTCCAACCTGGCCTTGAACACTGCCAGGGATGGGGCAGCCACAGCTTCTCTGGGCACCCTGTGCCAGCACCTCAGCACCCTCAAAGAGAATTTAAGGCTTCTTTTTAGCAGGTTCTCAGTCATGGTGCAAATACACCCCGAATAGATCAATGGGGTGTTGTTATGCTCTCGGGGCCCAAAATCCAGCTCCATTTTCAGTCTCGCTCTGGAAGAACTGGGATATATTGTACAAGGCTTCACATCTGGCTGGTGTCCACAGCAGCACCCTCACGTGTCCAGCTGAAATCACACTGTTTGGCTTCCACACTGACACATGAGCAGTGGGTCGGACACGTCCGCAAACATCTCCCCGTGAGCGGCTCCGGAGAGCTGGGGAGGAGGATGCAGGGGCTGGGTCCATCCTCTGCTTCTCATGTTCCTTCGCTCTGCTCCTCCCGATGAAGTTCGCTGCCTGATGCAGCTGGGTGAGTGTTTCCTTCCAAGATCACAAATGAACTCCATGCCTGGCTCTGTCACAGAAAAGCCTCTTGTTCTTCTTCCAAGAGCCGGCGATGAGTTGGAAACCCATCTCAGCTCTGGTGTCACGCTCCCCCCTCCATTTAATTGCTCCTTTCAAAGTCAGCTCTGTCAGCACGAGCTCCGTTCCTCCACCCAGCTCCTTCCCATTGCTGAAGGACAATTAGGAATGTTCCTTTCTATTTATTCTAATTAGCAGTTTGCTTTAGGGACTATTAAGCAGGCAAATGGAAGCGATACCTGCCGCTAGGATCTGAGGAGCCAGCCCTGTGTTAATAGGATTATCAAGCTGTAGAACATGGGTGTCCCAAGGGAAACTCGGGGCCTTATGTGGAGCTTTGCTGTGCTGGAACCAACACCATTCCTGAGCAGAGGGCAATTACAACCTTGTGCTGTGTTACTGGAGTCCTGGCAGCCCTGAGCCACCAGCTAAGACCAAGCACATTAAAAGTGTGAGCTCTATAGACTGTATTAACCTCTGCTATGATGCTGGGGTTCTGCCCACCAGGTACCAACTGCTTGTGGACCTTCTCAAACACCTAAACCGGCTGTGATGCAACTAGAAAACTCTCCCCACTGATGGGTTTCCTCTCCCCCTTTGCCACATGACCCCTCTCACCTTCTCCTTTCCATTGCCTCCTGTACTCACCCCAGCCCTAGTGCTTCAAAACCCACTTGTTCTGGGGTTTATTTGGGTATGAATTGGCTTCAGGAGGCTTCGGAGTGAAAGACCTCTCCAGGGATAAGCATCAGGGAGGGGGTATCCACAAACTGGCCCCTACCTTCTGTAGTGAGGCTGTCAATGAAGAGCGAGGACGTGGAGGTGGTGATGTCCTCGTCCAGCGGTGAGGAAGAGCTCTCAGGAGGTGCTGAATAGTGCTCACCAGCTGCTAAATCCTCACAGGTCTTCTCATCAGACTGGGAAGAAAACAGACAAGAGCCACTTTTCCCTTGCTCTCCTCCAGCAGGAGCACCAGGGAGCCAGTGGGGAGGACTCTGCTTCCCAGGCTTGGGGCTACTGAGCCTGAGGGCTTCAAACACTGGAGTGGAAGCAGGGGATGTGGTCCAGAAGTATGGAGGGGGGTGACCTAGAAGTTAGAGAAGAGGAGGAAGAGGTTGGGAACCACTTAAGTAGGACAAGGTCTGACCTTCTTGCATCAGTGGGTGACCTTACATAGGTCCTGTGACCCCCTTTTCCCTCACTCAACCCTCTCGGTTAATAGGGAACAAAGCTGAGTTTTCGGAGGGAGGAAAAAGAAAGAAAACCAACCCAAAGCAGAACCAGATGTTTCCTTAGAGCTGATCTTTCCGAGACAAAGAAACTAGTTCATCCAGCATGGAGATAATTGGAGACCAAAAAAAGTCACAAGGATTAATTCATGCTTGAGAGTGAGTAAGAGTCATGCTTCAGAAGGTGAAGAAAAACACATCCCAGAGCACTCAAACTGCACCACTTGGTAACTTAAAGAGGTCTCTGCACCTCTGCTGAATACCCAGCTCCAGGGAGACAAGACAGCAGCAAGGCAAACCCTAGGTTAGATGGACCAGCTTTTAACCATTCCCATACAGACATCCAAGTGGATTGGTGGTGCTGCTGTAATGGGAAAGGGATATCTAAAGGGATACTCAGTCTATTCCAGGCATGGATCAAGTGGAGCCGAGTGACTGTTTGGGGATATGGCCATTGGTTTTGCTGCAGATCAGCATCATTCCTAGCAAGGACCTAGAAGTGACTCTTGTTCCAGCCTCACCTTCTGACCACAGCCATAGGACAACCATTCCTCACGGTATCGGTCAAAGCCACTGGAACATCTGTGGAGAAGAGCAGAATTAACCAGAGAAGCAGAGAAATGGGAAAAATATATAGACTGACTTTGAGTTTCCATTCCCTGGACCCTGCCAGGGCAAGGCCGTGATCTCCACAAGGGTTTTGTGGGGTTTTTCCAGCAACATCTGCACAGGAAAAACGCATTAAAAAAATAATAAATGAGCTCAGGAAAACACCAGCTCGAGAAATCCCTACAGAAAAAGAGGGAATGGAATAGAACTCTGACCTTTGGGAAGGCTCAGGGGACATCAACCCATGAATCAGGGGTTCAGCTCATACAAGCACTGATTTACCCAACTACCAAGCAGGAAAAAGAAGAGAAACCACAAAAAAACACCCCAGGTCCTGCTGAGTCGCTGAGATCTTTGCTTAAGGTGCAGTTTCTGTAACAATTATGGGCTCAGCAAAAGCAAACCCACAAACTCCATTGCCCAGAAGTGAGCCAAGAGGTTAATTCCAGGGTTAAATCACTGGATTCAAACCCTGGAAGCCACCCTACCAACTTCCTTGGGAAAGATCATGTTGGCTTTGCAAAGCCAACCTGGTTGAAAGCCAACAAGATAGCAGAAGGCTTGCTGCAGCTTGCCATGTGTCCTGTCATGTGTAACCTCAGCTCTTCAGGACGGAGCGGCCAACACGCAGTTACGGCTGTGGGAAGCGTGGCCTTTAGCCAACACATGCAAACATCTGGAGAGGGGCTTTGGACAAGGGCCTGTGGGGACAGGACAAGGGGAATGGCTTTAACCTGCCAGAGGGGAGACTGAGATGAGCTCTGAGGCAGAAGCTCTTCCCTGTGAGGGTGCTGAGGCGCTGGCACAGGGTGCCCAGAGAAGCTGTGGCTGCCCCATCCCTGGCAGTGTTCAAGGCCAGGTTGGACACAGGGGCTTGGAGCAACCTGCTCTAGTGGAAGGTGTCCCTGCCCGTGGCAGGGGTTGGGACTGGATGAGCTTTAAGGTCCCTTCAACCCAAACCAGGCTGGGATTCTATGAAACATGAGCAACAGTGACTTAGGTTTTGGAAGCTGGGGTTTGCAAACACCATGAGTTTGGTAGCAGGATAGCAAAGCTCTTGAACCCTGAGGTTTCAGCCCAAACAAGACCCAGACTAAGCCACTGCATCCCAGGTTTGGTTTTGCTACAAAAGCCACATCTGGTTTCACGCATCTCTCTCAGCTGTGAGAACATCCCATTCTCTGGTCTGAAGCCACCCCTGAGCAACTGCTCAGGTTGAACCCCAGCCCACCGAAAGGCAGAGAATCAACACTCATTTACAGGGTTCTGTGCTGGCGTCTCAGGCTCTTGCCCTGGCCCAGCTGCCCTGCTCATACCCTGCTGGAATTGCTGCCTGGGAGGAAAGGGAAAGTCTTGAGTGTAGCAAGAGAAGGGCTGCAGCAAGGGGGGAACCACGGTGCCCTTGCAGGAGGTGGCTGGGGAAGGGGACCAGCCACTGAGCCTCCCTGGGAGAGCCGTGCTGTGCCGCGTGTGAGGATCTGTGTTACTGGGTCCTCTCCCCTGCCACGAGCTCTAAATACAGATTTCAGCAGTATCTCATTAAACTCCTGCTCCCCATCACGCTGAAGGAGAGCAGGGAGCAGGGATGCTGCGTGGCAGGGCCAGCCTCACCCCCCACACCCTCTGTGCACCCCTAAACCAGCAGCAATACCCCCAACCCTTGCTACATCTCATCCTCCACAAGGAGAACATGATAAGCATCCCCCTCTCTGTGACCTACCTGAGGCTGGAGCTCGTCCCAGGGTCCCTGCCCTGCACTTCAGTCTCAAATCACAGCCTAAGGCAGGACAAGTTACCCCCATTTAAGCTCACTGATTCACATAAGAAATGTGAATCTTGCTTCTGGTCTCAACTTGTTCCAGCTGCTGCACTGAAATATCAGGACCAAAAGCCCCAGGGTTGGGAAATGTCTCCTTTCAACAGCTTGTAACTGGAGATCAGCTCACGGCGTCACCAGGGCTGTGAGACTGAGAACAGCACCAGAAAGCACCAGGAAAAGGCAAATGGTAGTAAAAGCCCATCAGCACTGGTACAGGCATCAAACCCGGAGCTGTGCTTGTTCTCCCAGCTATAGAACATGAGCAAGAGAAGAGGTGGGAAGGAAACTCATCCCTGGTACCTCTGCAGGACGTGGCACCAGCTGCAGTTGAAGGTCAGCTCCGAGCTCACGCACATTTCACAGCTCTGATGCTGGAGACAAGCTGTAAAAGAGAGAGGAGACACAGTGACACACCAGCATCTGCACGGGCACCATCCAGTGACACACCAGCATCTGCACAGGCACCATCCAGAGACACACCAGCATCTGCACAGGCACCATCCAGAGACACACCAGCATCTGCACAGGCACCATCCAGAGACACACCAGCATCTGCACGGGCACCATCCAGACCCACACCAGCATCTGCACAGGCACCATCCAGTGACACACCAGCATCTGCACAGGCACCATCCAGAGACACACCAGCATCTGCACGGGCACCAAGAGCATCTGCTGAGCACTGGTGGTGTGGGCTGAACCAGAGCATCAGCAGGTGAGTCTCTAACACAACCTCTCTGCTATGGGCCTGCAGAACACCTCTCTAGCAGGAGTGGACTCCCAGGCCATCTGTAAACCTCTCCCCATCCTGTTTAACTGGGAGGTAAAGCACATCTGGGACTTACACCACTTATTGCACAGAGGGTGTTGTGCAGAAGGAAGGGAGCGATACAAACAGTTTAACCCTCTGCTGCTATGTCCATTGTAAGCAGCTCTGCAAGAATATCTCCACGCTGGAGAGGACGACCTGCTTGGAGAGTCCAATCCTGGCTGGGAAAGGTGCTTTGTCAAGAAAAGTCACAGCAACTGGTGGTTTCCATGACCCTGAGCTCTTCCCGAGCAGCAGCCGTGTGGAGGCAGCCAGCAAGGACTCTGAGAGGGGGCAGAGCTGAATGAGGCTAAACATTAAGCCCCCAGAAGAAGCAGTGGCCTCCAGCTCCCCCAGCCCTGTAGCTCCTCTAGAGATGCTGCTCCCAGCACCCTGCCTGCTGGGGAAGACAAAAGAGCAGGTTTTAAGGAGAAGAAATCGAGTTCTTGCTGGATGCTTATTCCCAATCTGCTCTGCAGTAACCCTGCTGCTGCCGAACCTGCCACCCAGTGCCCCGGGAAGGCCGTTTCCATGCATAACCCCGGTATCTCCGGGACACATTCCCTCCCTGCGCTGTATTCATGGGCTGCGTGACGACTCGCGTGTGTCCTTGGATCCCAGCACTAAAAATGGGGCTGCTTAACAGCATCCCGAGATATTCCATCTGAGTGTGGAGGCGGCCAAAACAGCTCATAGGCAGACATGAAGTGAACTGGTGTCCAGCGAGATCAGCTGCAGCTTGTGGAGCAAAGAGAAGGAGTTCTGGCGAATGGGCAGGTGGGAAGAGCAGGGAATAAGGAATTAAAGTCCTGGGGTGAAAGGGGATCTGTTGGTGAGCAACAAGAGGCATCAACTCTGCATGAGGAATGGTGCTGGCAGTGGCATGGAGAGTGGCTTGGGACCATGTGGGGACATGGTGGTTGGCATCACATCTCTTGTCACTTAGCTGGGGTGTGCTGAGCAGTAGGGAAGGAAGACTGGCTGCACATCCCTCTTTTGCCAGATCTTCCCATGCCAGCAGGGCTTTGCTGCATCCCAGGCTCCCATCCTGGCTCCAGGGCGAGCCTGGCACGCACATGGGGTTTGCTGTTGGCTGGGATTGACTCTGAGCTGATCAACCCAAACAGGGCTGTAGGCACGAGATGGCAGGGGATGGAACTGGATGATCTTAAGGTCCTTTCCAACTCAAACCACTCGCTGATTCTATGTTCAGTGACAGCCACGCAGAGACCTTCAGGATGAGTGGGGGACCCCGACTGATGCTCACCCTCCCTCCATGGCTCCCAGCCATCGGATGATGGGTGACACCCACTGAACCTGCCTCCTCCAGCCCTGGCTTCCCCCCTTGGCTGTACATAGGGGGCTGGTGTAGTTTCTGGGTGAAACCATGGGAGGAAAACACTCTCCAGGGCACCACCCCAACCATGTTGTCCCATCACTGTGGTCCCCAAGCGTGTCTGACTCACTGGGCAGGGGGGTGAACTCCACAGCTGACATGTTGGTGATCTTCCTGGTGTCCAGCTCCACACGATGGTACTCGTAGATGGTCCGACGGCGGGACTCTGAAACACAGAGCCTTGGCTATAGACCAGGCACAAACCCCCTCTCAACACCCTTCTCCATCCTGCAAAGGGGGTTACCCCACTGCTGCTGGCTCCCACTTGAAAGGCAAAAGTGGCCCCGGGTCTCAGGGTTGTTCCTGTGGGAGAGGACAGTGTATGGAGGCTGCAGGGAATCATGGAGTGGTTTGGGTTGGAAGTGACCTTCAAAGTCATCTAGTCCACCCCCCCCTGCAACGAGCAGGGATGTTTCCAAGTAGGAAGCAACACAGGAGGTGCTGGGGGGGACAGGGATGTCGGGACACACATCTCGTCTCCCCTCTTTGGCTGGGAGGAGCTTGGAGCTCCCCCTGCCCCTGTCCCTGAGCAGAGGTGGACGTGGTCCAGCCCGGCTTCACTCTGAACAAACACATTTCTCACCAGTGACTCATGGGGCTGTGACCTTCCCCCTGCGCAGCTCCGGCTGCAGCCGCCTTCGCCACGGCCTCCTCCATCCCCATTTCCTGCTCCATCCCCACCATCCTGGGCCTGGAAGGGTCTTCCCACATTTGGCTTCTCCCTGGTCTTCTCCCAGCATCCACCATGGGTTCACGTGGTGACACCAGCCAAGATGCTTCTCTGGCATCACGCTTCCATGTGAGGGGAATCAAACCCTCCAGCACTTGGAGCCCAGGATGAGCAGGACAGAGCATTCTCCCTTCCTTCCCCCTCCTCTCCTTCCCTTCAAGCCTTGTTTCTTCACCTCATGAGCTGGTTTTGACCCCAATTCATGCATTTCTTCTCCCCTCAGCCCTTGGGGCAGGCAGGAGATACCAGCAGCCCATGGGGATGGAGGCACATGCAGCCTGGCTGAGGTTCTTACACTGTTGTAAATGGGTGATAAATAAAGAGCACATGGAGCTCCATAAATAACAGGGAAAAGCAACGGCAGCAGGAGGTCCTCGTGACAAGCAGGGATGAGAGAGGCTGGAAGAGCCTTCTTGGGGAGCTCAGCCCATGCCTGCAGCTCACGTGTGGAATAAGTGTGTGCATGAAGCCCTTTTCCCTGCAGCACCTCACCAGAGCTCACAGTGCCCATGGGCCACCTTCAGCATGAGGCTGCACAGTGGTCTTGGCCATGGAGAGATGGACCCCAGCGGTGGACCCAAAGAGAGATGGACCCATAGAGAGATGGACCCATAGAAAGGTGGACCAAAAGACAGATGGACCCAAAGAGATGGATCCCAAAGAGAGGTGGATCCAAAGAGAGGTGGATCCAAAGAGAGGTGGACCCAAAGAGAGGTGGACCCAAAGAGAGGTGGACACAAAGACAGATGGACCCAAAGAGATGGATCCCAAAGAGAGGTGGATCCAAAGAGAGGTGGATCCAAAGAGAGGTGGACCCAAAGAGATGCACCAGGGGATGTGGGACACAAGAGGTGTCCATGCCGCTGAGCCCCACACCTCCTTACACTTCCTTGCTCCCCACCATGAATCCAAGCAGTGCATCCTCCTGAAGTGCCCCAAGATCCTTCCCCAGCTGTGATCCCAGGGGACCTGTGGCATCCCTGCAGGATCTGCTGCTTCCCTGCCCCAGCCTCCCCCCATATTCCCCCAGCACAGCAACCCACCAGGCACATCAGGAGATGGGTTGAGGACCATGAAGGCATCGGAGAGGCCGGCTTTCACGGGGTGCTGGGTGGCACTGATCTGCAGGACCGGCACAGGGATCTGCAGCCAGACAGAGAGGACATGATGGATGTGATGGACCCTGCTCCTGGTGCTGCTGCAGATGTCTCCAGTGCTTTGGTGGCACTGGGAACGCCCAGACTCAGTGTGTGGATGGTTATAACTGGGCCCCTCCTGCTGTGCCTTCCCCAGCAGAAACATCTCTCACCTCCTTGTACCCGAAGATGATCCTCCCGGTGCTGTGCAGGGCCGCCTGGAAGGTGAAGCTGCCCATGTCCTCCTTCCCCTGAAGATAGACTTTGTCCCACTGCACCACAAACGCCGTCCCTGGAGCAGAGACCAGAGCGCATCAATCCTCTCACCTGTCCCTGCTCCCGCTCCGTGAGGAAGGAGCAGGAAGCCGGGATGCTCCGCACCTCCAGCAGCCGCGCTGGTGTGCCCTGGGGTGGCCGGAGCAGGACTCACCGTTGTCCATGTACTGGACGGTGGAGTTGCGGGAGTAGCTGGGGTTGAAGTTGGCCATGAGGGGAGCGACGTACTGCGTGGCCGTGAGCATCCGGTGGATGACGTCCCCCATGAAGATGAAGCCTGAGCGAGCAGAGGAGGATGAAGAACGCACGTCCCCTCCCTCCTTCCCTCCTCTTGACCTCCCACCTCCCTGCCCTGCCTCACCCAGCATCTCCCCAATGCCTGTGTGACCCCCTGCAGCAGGGGGGTTACACTTGGGGTGCAGGCAGAAAGCTCAAAGGGCTCTCTGGGGCTCAGGGTTGGACTGGGTGATCTCCAGAGGTCCCTTCCAACCCAATGGATTCTGCAAGGTTGGAGCCAGCCCCATGTCCTCCCGCTATGGGAATGCCAACAGAGCACAGACACCCCATCGCATCCTACCCCTTCGCATCCCATCCCATCCCATCCCATCCCATCTCTCGGGCGCTGCCGCAGGAGGGGGCCGTAGAAGGGGAAGTCGAAGGAGAGGACGATTCTCTACGGGAGGGAGATGGGGTGAGAGCCCGGCCCCCCAGGACATGGGCTGGGGTGTGCTGGGACGGGTCGGGGCTCACCGAGGCCTGTCGGTGCGTGTTGGAGAGGATCCCATGGATCTTCACTTGGCTCCTGTTGGCAGCGGCCAGGTCAACCCACAGCCCCCTCAGACGTGCATCCCCCGGCCCATAGACCCGCGACACGTAGTAGCTGTGGTTGTCCTCCTGCGGTGACAAGGGATGGTGTGACAAGGCTGGCCCCACGGAGACCCCCAGGGAGGGCTCGGGGACCCCATCTCAGCCCAAAGCGGCCATAAACCAGCACCCAAAGCCCAATGTGAAGCCTGCAAAGGGCTCTGAGCAGTAGACGGTGCAGAGAAGACCCATGAGACCAACTGGGAGCAGAGGCTGGTTGGCAAGAGGGAGCTGTGACTCAGAGAGACCTCAGCAGAGCAGATGCAACCTTCCCGGGAAGAAAACATCCTGCTCCAGCGCCAGGGGCTGGGAGTTACACACGAGAATTGAAGCCAAACAAGTGATGATGGGGAAACCCAGAGGAAATGATTAACCTTGGAACGGGCAGAGCAGGGAGAGCAGCCAAGCACGAGAGAGGGGCTGAGCACTGGGACGTGGGGCTGCATCCCCGGAGCATGGGGTGGGACACGGCTCCATGCGAGTGGCCAGACCCGTCCTTGCTATTCCCAGGCTCCTGGAGCCCCCTTCCCAAGCAGACCAGAGCATGGAGCATGCAGCAAGAGCCATCTCCAACCAGCCAGAGACCTGCTGGAGGACACACATCCCCAGCCAGACCCCAGCATCTCCCCCCTGGGACCTGTTCCCCATGTGAACCCATGCCAGAGGCAGGGAATGACCCATCAGCCAAGGATTCAGTGGGTTGGAGAGGGGAAAAGTGAGACAGCAAAGCCCCATGCTATTCCCAAGAGAGCAATTGTAGCCCCTTCCTCCTGCTCCCAGCCCTTCACAATGTATTCCAAAGAAACAAGGGGGGATATAAGCAGGGTCGGGAATGCGGAGGAGCTGACTCACTTGGATGTCCTCATCCATCACCTTGCTTTGGATACAGCA